CCATATCAATCAATTGTCATGTGGGAACCTAATTTGGCTCCTGATTCAAGCAAACAAACTTAAAAATAAACATCTATGACATTTATGAGATAATGGGGAAAATTTGAATGGTGGCTGGATATTTTGATGATGTTAAGGAATTTTTATTCTTTTTTAGATATGATAATATATGGTGGGGCTTTTTTCAAGCCCTTATCTGCTAGAGATACACGCAGAAATATTGATGGATAGAATAACAGGATGTCTGTGCTTTGCTTCAAAGTAACGCAGAGGAAGGGGAGCTGGGTGGGGGTAGGGATGGGGCAGGGGCAGTCGGGTGGATGGGGGTGCGTGAGGTCACTGTACTCCTCTACTTTCATGTGTGTTCAAAATTCTCCGTAATAAAAAAAATCATAAAAGGAAGGCAAAGCAGCCCCCCCGAACACATTCTTTGGCCCCCCACATAGTTAGGGTAAAACCCAAATGTTTTTCTATGTGGTCGGGACCCCACCTCCCTCTCAAGGCTTCTCTCTGTTCCTCAAAAACTCTGAGCTTCCCACCTCAGGGTGTTCACACCACCTGCTCCCTCCGCCTGGAACACTCCCCACCACACACACACACACACAGCACACCAGCTCCCCTTATCCTTCAGATCTCAACTTCAGTGTCATTTTAAGACACCTTCTCTGAACAACCAACCCCCTACCCAGATGGGAGCCCCATTTGACTTCCCGGTGGTGTCTTGTGTTTTTCCTTCAGAACACTTATTCTAGTTGTGAGCGCAGATGAATGTGTGTTCAGGATTTTCTCCCCACAGGACATAAGCTCTGTGAGGACATGCCTCCCCCATGCCTCAGACAGTGATGGCCCCTGGATGCCCTCCCTACAGGCTAAGTATAGCAGATCCCACGCCCAGCCTGGCCCTCCACCCCTGGTCTGGAGCCTGACCAAGGAAGGCCAGAGCAGCAGAGAGAAGGTGGGCCAGGGCTGCCACCACAGCCAGAGGTGGGCTTGCCACCTGCCCACCCCTCATCCAGACACAAATGTGAAAGCAGCCCAGAAAATTTATCTTGA